AAAACCTAGTTGATGTTACCCCAATAAAGTGAGAAGTGGGTATTGTAGTTGTGTAAATTGAATAAAATTGTAAACTGCAAATAAAAGTCACAACCATTCTCTGAATTAGGAGATATCATTTTAGCTTGATAGCAACATTCAGCAATTGTTAAATGACCACTTGATGAACATGAAATCCATACAGGAAGTGCATAATATTTGGTGAAATATATAATCTTTTGATTTCAGTATGAGGTCTGCATGGCAAATGTGTTACTATAGGGGCATACACATCTTATAACCTCACTCACATACTGCTGAAGTGGAGAAACTTCTATTGGTTTTTACTGAACTTAATGTAGAGGACATTGTGAGGTAATTCCTGTTTTATTAATTCCCTTATGCTGAAGGGAGGAAGGGTATTCGTAATCTCTTGCCTCATTTGCAGCTACGGAGCACCTAGACGTGCAGGTGTGTTTGCACGAATAAACTGGGGAATAAAATCTTCCTTAACTTCCGAACAATTTGTCCTTATTCCAACTAAGCTAATAACCTTCTTCCACGTATGAACCTAAGTTAAGTTTTTGAAATCAGAGTATCACGGTAAATAAATCTCTCCCCAAAATAAATGCCACCTGAAGAACAAGTTCATAAAAGTGCTACACAATGTTTTTATATGCCTATGATTTGTGTCTTAAAATGTACAGCAGGTTGTGCTGAGTAAATGAAAACTTGTCTTAATGAAATTACTTTATGTATATCAACAACTGTCATATCGATTAAGACAATAAAAAATCATTAAATAGGCCGTATATACTAGCATGTTTCCGTGAAAATTCAAAAATGTACGTTTAAATTTTGAACTTGCTGTCTTATCTAACCCGTTATGTTGTGCATATACGAGTATCAAGCAACAATTCCTGATACAAGCGTGACAAGTGTATCGCGGTCCAAGTACATTATGTCGCCGACATTATGTACGTCATAAAATTCTCTTGATACAAAATTTCATCTATAAAGCATGTAAAAAATAACACCTGTCATTAAAGCACCATAGCGATGGATTACGACTGTACAGTTATCAGGGATACTCAATAAAGTCACTCAATAATGCCCATCAACTAATTGCATCGGTTCAGACATTACGCTGAGAGCTTTATAATCTTTGATAGACACGGGCGAATGATTGCTAGAGTCATCGAACACATTATAAAAATTTTCAAACTTAGTCTCCATTTATCTGCAGTTAAATTACTGTTCACAATACCAGTCTCTCCTTGGATGTCATTATATCTTGTCCACAAAGTGTCCAGCCTGAGGGAGTCTTCACATAGCAAGGTTAATTAGTTTCACTAGAATTTTTCTCAGTCACTGAATGCACTCCTTACAGATTACAGTCAATCGGCGTTGTGATCCTTTCAGTTTCGTCGTCTGATGATAATGTGGGATATCGAGGAAAGTCCTCAATTCAATTGGACCCCGGCCATTTCGATTTCAGTGACCCGTTTTGTTTCTCTGTGCTGGCTGAGTCACAATAATGACAGCTGCATTTTCAGGTCAAATCTTTATTGTTCCCAGGTCTATTTAATATCCTGATGTTAGTTATTTTACTAGATTTCAAGAGAATTTGAGATTAAACAGCAGTTTTAAGTATATTACAACAGCAAAGGGCAAAACATTTTGAGCGCGTATACCTGTGCAACTATAATTTTTGTCACCTCTCTGGGATTAAAATTGCAGTAAGCTGGTCGTGTACCCGAATCACCAGCTAGTATAAACAATCGCATTCGGTAAACCCCACAACCCGCATGCTTGCTAATGCAACTAGAAGACCATTCAGACATCAATGTCCTGTTATCCAGTCTGTGCGAAGAGGTATTTCGATAGTAGGCAACGTTGTTTGTGACCCAAAGAAAGATTTGACTAAACGCAATCACACTACGGTGAACAAATTCCATAGGATTCTGGCTGACAATGGTGAGGAGTAATTCGTATTCAATAAGCATACTGAGAACAAGCGCATCAACAGACCCTCATACAATGCCAAGAAACCGGTTCAAGGCACAAATATAGGTAATGCTTTCCAGTATGCTCCATATTCTGATTGATCGGCTCCCAAATGTTCGAAAACAACTTACTCTGCCACATTTTTCTGGTGATAGAAGAGGTTAGAGCATGCCTAGTGGTATACTGAATTAGAAGTTGATGCATAGACCTTCTAATCTTGCACCGGATGACTCACACTCCATTCCGAAGTATCACCTTCTCTACATATGGGACCCCACAGTAAAACTTCAACTAGTCTCGCATCCTTGTACGACTTCTGGCATCAAGAACTACGTCATCCTCTTGCAACGTCGATGGTTGGACGTCCTGCTCGAACCAGTTTTCACACAAAGATCCCGGAAAAGACCCTTGTGTAGGTAACTTCGTTCCTGTCCATGGGGAAAATATGTTTGACCTTGCTTTCTGTCACGACATGCCCCGTTTCCAGGAGTGCTGCTGACAGATCTTCCAGTTGAGGCCATGAAATGGTACTCTGCTCAATGTCTTTTCCTTCATTTAATCCAGGAAACAACAACGGTTCACTGGACATGAAATGAGTTTGTCGAAAGCAAACAGACTGGGTAAAATTCCTAGCTCTCAATGGGACAAATGTATTATTAAAGACACCCCGGAGACTGAGACATCCCTTTCTTGTGGGGAGATTTCAAAACCACCCAAACACCACGCTGAGTACATTCCGAGGGCATGCAATAGTAAGTCAAAGAAACTGTCAAAACAGTACGATTTCACTAGGGATATATCAGTAATTCACTCAATTTATAAGTCACTTGAATCTTCCAATTCATTACTAGAGCAGCCGACAGTTCCATCAAAATAATTACCCAAATGATCCAGTTGGTGAGAGACAGGTTTTTGACCGGAACCGTGCTCTGCTGAGCTACCTACCTCGTCTGCCCTGTTAGTTGTATTTGTGCCGGTTGTTACATTAGTGACCAAATATCAACCACAAGTTCCGAGATTTTTAGGTCTTTGTCCATACTCATATAGTTCACTCGACCTTCTCTCAGTAATCACCTCCAATATTAGGTTGGCGGTGCTTCGTGAGTTTCCAAGAGAGGAGTGGGAGTCCCAGGTGTCCTGTGCCTGTTGCGCATACTACGGAGGGGCTTGCATCAAATCTTGTTCTAGTACAGCTTCCACCACCCTAATGTCGCCTACAATCTGTCGCACGTCGAGTAAGAACTGCGATGGGGATGCATCTCTCATGTTACTCGTGGAAGCAACCGTTTCGTAACTTGGTTTCACGATGCAATGGCGTTTTATCACTGCACGCCTAGGCATTGTTTATGGTTGCCTGGTTGGAATGCGAAGTCTTCACACCTCCTTGCTAATCTCATAGGGCAAATGAGAACATAGGTGTCGGCACCTGATGTTATAAACTTCATCATGTGCCCGTAAAAGCAGTTTTCTGGTTGAGCAGACCATAGTTTCGCGTCATGCCGAGCAAATTCGGGAAATTTGGTTCTTGTAGTTACTTAGGAAATTACCTCTGCAGATGTTGTTCTTAAGTTGGTTTCCATGCCTACCAACTGACCCACTGTAGTGAACAAGGAGATTGAAATTAAATATAGGAACAAGTAAAAAAATCCGAAAACAAGAAATACATAGATCATAGTCAACTGTGACAAAAAAGAAAGCTAAATATAAGTTGAAATGGACTCGCCAACTTATAAACCGAGTTTTCTATCGAAATAATTAACCAAATGATCGACCGACAGCTCATATTGTTGCAGAAGACGAATTGTGATTTCTAAACCTTTATTTTCGAAAGGACAGTAGTGGGCAGTTAAAATCGGAAATCTAGTCAAACTCACGGAAGAGCATTCATCATTCAGAATATAGAGTGAGCCTTACAAATCATAAGGAAGTTGTAGTTACTACTCGGTTACTCGTTTCGACTTCCTGGAATCCCTAATGGTTAACTAGGTCTCAGTGGCCATTGCATGCTGCTGTAGAGATCCCACACTACATCAGAAGCACTGTGCTATACTTCCAGTGTGAAATTAAGTTTTATGGTTGGTGATTGGTTCTAGAGTCTAGTGTTGTCAGAGTTACCACTAAAAAATGTATGTGTTCACAACCAGAGCTCATGTAAGTGTGATGAGATATGTTGATGTTATCCAAATATATTTAAGCCTGGTTCTTAGCTGTTCGACAAACTTTCATGCATCCGTGGAGGGAAAGAAAAGAGCCACACATGACACCTTAGTACATTGCAATCACCACAAAATCTTCCAGAGTTGAAATACCTGCGTTAGCTAAAGATTGCAAACGCAGGTAAGTGAAAATAAGTAGATGGGGTTACTGTTTATTGATTGACGTCGTTATATCAGACATGATGACACTTGGAAAAGAGGCGTAGACACTACACAAGAACCGACTACGGTGATATATGCCTCCTGACAAAAAAGACAAAAACCAGTAGTTTTCCAGGATATATACTCATGGCACATGAAGGACACCTGAAACATTCGGAATACAATTCTCTGTATCCGAATTATTCTTCCCATCCATCTTGTTTGCAGCAGGGCCTCCGACTGTTACCACACTATTTGAGGGTCCAGATTTCACTCACATTCTGCTTAACCGAGATTTGAGCAACCTATTTAGGTTTAATATACGGCGATCTAGAACTAATTCGCCACTCCTCCTTCAGCACGATATTGAAAACAAACTTAGAGAGGGTGAAATTTTTCGCCTATGCTCCAGGGTAATTTCCAGTCTTCAATGACATTTCCTAACTGGGTGAAATGTTTCCGAACGTCAGGCCTGTATTTCAAGGGACTACGTCGCAGCAAATTTTTCTAGAAAGAACATATGCAGATTGAACAGAAAGTTGTTCAACTCACTTAGGCTATTCATTTGCGATAAGCAAAACTTTATCAACCTGTTTCCGAAATTTTTTTCACAACATCCACCTTGAGGATTGAAGATCCAATGTTGTTTTAGTTACTGAGATCTGGTGGCTTTTATGACCACGAAGATGGCGCTAGTGAAGAGTTGTGGATTATGATGAGTGTATTGGGCTTTAAATCAAATTTGCAGTGCCTAAGTTTTTACTTCAAAAGCTACTGCTGGAAATCGTTATCCCAACGCAACACATACCTTCCATAAAATCTCAATGTTCTGTTGCAGGAGCGAAGAATATAAAGAGCAAAACCGCATTAATAAGGAGATTGAGAAGCAGTTGAAACGTGACAAAAAGGATGCACGTCGAGAACTAAAACTTCTCCTCCTAGGTAGGTTACTTTTCAAAGTATGGAGTAGGGAAGTGTGCTTCAAAGTTGTACGCGACTTTTATAATTCTCTCTGCGGAGGTTCAGTGTACATAGTCACAGCAGTCGTGTTTCAGTTTTCAACGTGTAGTTCTCTTTTTTTCATTTGTGTACACTATGTTTTTACGCGAAGAGAGTAGTCTAGAAGATATTGTTTTCCTGAATCTCTTATTCATTTGTAAGTCTTTAATGCGCATAGCTACATGTTAAGTGAGAACTTATGTATCTAACTTTTTGTGCCTAGCTCACAGTTGCAGTTGTGTCTACAAGTGCAGTCCCGAATTCTAATCAGTCATCTTGTATCCTGGAAGGTTGGCATAACCTCATAATGTCGGAGTTCCGCAGAAATAGCTGCCAGAATCACTACTAGTATCATCCAAGAATGTGGTAGTAGTGTTGAGTACTTATATAGCGTCAAGAAATAACAGTGCGCTCACCCACAACCTCTGCTCGGAAATGGAGTCAATGTTCGAATTATAAAGTGGCAAAGTGGCAGTAGACGTATAATTTTTGCTCAGCCGCGTTGTATTGATTCATGTGAGGAACTGTGCTGTGCTCTCAGTTAAAGTGGTCATTTGATCACAAAATTTCTGACTTCATAATAGAGATTCTACAGCTTTGCCTAGCACTTTAGTTCTCCACCTGATCCAAGTAGTAACTGGTCTCACAAATATCATGGTGCTTGAAGCCTAATATATTCACAGGACTAATTGCATAATGTGAAGTAGTTTTGAAATTACTAGCCATAACATAATTTCGTAATGCTTTTCTACCAAAGTAATTTTAAAAATTTTTCCACATGTTAAGCACATATTGCCGCCACCAGATTTCTGGTTGGCCTGTCGGACGTTCCCCTAAATAATGCGTGCTTATTTATCTGAAAAACGACCGGCAATAAGGACCAGGTGAAGTGTGTTGTATCGTGATACTGCGTATTTCGCTGTGGCTCAAGGGTGTTTAGTGATGTTTTCCATCCATTAGTGACCGAGGCAAGCATCAAGACCCTGGAGATCTTGCTCTTATTTCACTATTTTTATGCCTAGATGATAGTCCGTGTGTATTTTGTTGGACGTCATGCAGTCTGTTCAGTGGTCGATTGCTTTGTAGCCTGGCCATTATTTGGCTTGTTTCTACGCGTCAATTGTCAGTGGTTCGACAGACTTTTCATTTGTTTCCTTCAAAAAAAGCTTTTAAAAAACCTGTTAGTGTCACTAAACGGTAGTGTGCGCATGTGTAATAATAATCCTGTCTTAAGGTTGTTAACCAATTGAAGAAAACTTACAGTATCATCTGTTGGATGAACTTCAAGTACTGTTGTAATCAGTATGCAGGCCAGTCTTTATCTATGTACTACTGTTGGTTCATATCTGCAGCCACAATTTGCGTTTCCTTATTATCTCATTTAACTCGTCACTGCCTTATGCGACCAGATACAGTTTTTTAAATTTTGTGTACATTCTTGTGTACTATCACCTTATGGCATCAAATCCCGTTATTCAGCATCGCCTTATTAAGGCTTCGTCGAAGTAGTCAAAAATTACAAGGAAAGATCAGCCAGATGTCCAACTTCGTTGCATGTAGACTTGGTATTTATCCTGCATATACAAACAGTAGGAGTTTTATTCCCTAACTTGAAATCTCTTAGTCTCTGTCAAGCGAAAGTCCTTTTTCCACTGTATTGGGTCGTCTTTAATTACATCTTCCTGTAGGTTGCTCAGTGAAACACCTGTGATCTTTTACTGTGACATCTCATGAGATCTGTACGTCGGATGCCTGCTTAAAAGTGTGGTTCGTTTGCTTTATCCCCATACCTGCAAATAAGCCACCTCAGATTCGAGCTTCACTCCGTCAATTCCAACCTGGGAAGCTGACTATTATCATCCAGACACAGTCTGACACATGGGTCGATATCAGTTAATTGAGTTCTGACTTTAACGCGCCGTTGTAAATATGGTTGTGGGTCACCGTCTTAAAGAACTTCCTTGGCCAATCTTGGTTGACGTACATTAGCGACCTAATAATGTGACTGAAGGTACACAATGGTAAAAAACAGTCCTATGGGTGCTCTAAGCAATAGTTTAACGATGCTATTTTAGCTCCTAAATATTGACTGGTAATTCTAAACTAGTTTTGATTAGTTTCATAAACTTTATTGTACTGATTACTGACAAGATCTCAGCATGGTTGTGTAAGACTTGTTTGGCATTTGTCAATTTGCCCTCTGTCACAGGTATGATATCCCGCTTTCATCCAAAAAGCATATGTGCTCTGCTGCTTCTCTAAGTAGGAAGTTGAACTGATATGATTTTGAATGTGTATCGTTCTAAAGGGTTTATGACTGCATTTAGCAGGTAACTTTTGATTTTTCCTATTGTGATGGGGGCCTAAATAGCCAAATAATTTTACTAGATTTTACGCAGTTAGTGGCCCAGTCTGTAATACATCCTGTGTGAATTTGTGAGATTATCTGTAGTGACTATCGTACGAGTGTTTCCGTTGGTTTCCTATTCGACTACACCTATCTAAAGATGCAACTCAATTTTTATAACTCCGTACACTGGACTGTAAACTATAACTGGTTACGATAATTCTGGAAGATTATTAGACTAATATTTCATCCACTGCGAGTGTCGATAAATAATTAACCTTGATCACGGACTAACATATGCTTAATCTCGTCACATTAATCCTCCACTAAGCACTTCGTGTTTAGTAGCATAGCCTAAAGTTCATTCAGCCAATAATGTAATGCTGTGTATTTTCCCATCACGTCTTACAATGTAACATCACAATAATTATTAGCAAAAATGTCATTATCGAATTATGCCGAAGATAATAAAATCATAAATACAAATTCTGTTACTTAGTGATAATCAAGCATGAATTTGTATTAACTTTTATATGGTAGTAGAATGGCTCAATCGTAGCTTGTTAAAACATTACCTAATTTCATAACTTTCATCCACAATTATTTTCATTAGGTACCGGTGAGTCTGGAAAAAGTACCTTCATTAAACAAATGCGGATTATCCATGGTGCTGGTTATTCGGATGACGAGAGACGAACTTTCATTAAAATTGTCTATCAAAATATCTACATGGCTATGTTTACAATGATTCGTGCTGTAGAAAGCCTGAAAATTCCATATGAAAACCCAGCAAACAAGGTTAGGATGCCTGATAAATCATGCAATTATTTTTGTATATGATATACTATAAAAAATCTATTTATTACTATTGATTAGGTTGTACTGGTGATTTAAAGCGAAATTCTTCAATGTTAAATCCGTATCATTAAGTTTTAAACACTATGCATTAAAAAAATGCTAAAACCAATTATTGCGCCCCTTATTTATGAGTCATACAAGTGTACATCTAGTTACCTCCTATGTTAATGTCTTCAGTTCACCACCTATAGAAATCACTCGTAAGATGGAAATATATGTAGATATAAATGAGTTTTTTGATATTAGATGGTTGGAGGGGAAGCCATTTCTGACCTAAGTTTCGTGCTAGTTGGCACTCACCAGTCAGCAAGGCGTATCTCTGCAACCTTGAAGGAACTCATGTCCCTGCTTCTGAGATTTGAACCCGCGTCACCAACCAGTACTGCAGCCAGAGGCGATGTTACCACTAAACCAATAAGAGTCACAATTGACCTCCTGTAGGACTGTATTGGATATTATTTTTGATTGAACACTAGTCTAACTAGTGTAATGTGTGTGTGTAGTTCTGTCTTTGGTGCAGACTGAATTCTATTAGTCAAGTTTGCCTCCAACGATCTAATATGAGCAATTCACAGTGCACCGTGATGGTGAGCCACCTAGTGGTATTGTGGCCACATTGCAAATGTGACTGATAGAATTCATTTCGCACCAAAGATAGGACTAGACACATTAGTTAGGGATTAATTAGTGTCCAATCTAAAATAGATATAAATGATAACATAAGATCTGCCTTGTCAAATAAAATTTGTCTGATAGTACTTTCAATTGTTGTTAACATCTCAAATATTTTATGTTGTCAGTATTTATGGATTCATTCATATCCCAGCTATCTTGACTGGTATATATGTAATGTTCAAGGTGTTTTATCACCTGCAAAATGCTCATTCTGTGTTGCAGCAGCTAGAAGTAATGTGCAGTCTTATTCATAGGAAGAGACATTAGCTTAATATCTGTTTATGTTGCGCATTACCCACCGTCATTCGAATTTTAACGTCTTTTATTGTTAGTCACGTAATGATTCATAGGCTAATTTCGTTTTTTCCCCTCATCTATTATGATATAACGCGTACTAAGTATTCATACAAGCAAATGTTAACTTTTTGTTCAAAATGATTTCAGTCGTATGCCGAAGCAATTCGTGAGATCGACTATGAAACTGTCACCACTATGGAACCTCAGCATGTTGTAGCCATTAAATCATTATGGGATGATCCTGGAATAAAAGAGTGTTATGATCGTCGTCGTGAATACCAGTTAACAGATTCAGCTAAATAGTGAGTAGACTTTTTGTTGTTGTTGTTGCTTTTAACATTATCTAACATATTTTTTGTCCTCATTTTGTCATGTTTTCATCAGTATCTGATATGCAATAGGAAGTCGAGTCTTCATGTCTGAATACAGAAGGCTCGTTTGGTATATGCCAGTTAACCTACACCATCCCTGGTGTAGACGTGATATCTGGCTAGCTGTCGACCAAAGGACGTGTGTACTACTCAGCACCAGTTCGCTCTGTCCCTCCTTTTTGGTTGTGAGTGATACTTGGCCATTGAAAGTGGAAGATATGAAAAGACAGGCTAACTGTCTTTGATCATAGGTGTCTACGTTCTATCTTGTGTCAGGTGGTATAATGTAGTGAGCAGTATTGAGGTGAGGCATCAGTTGAGTGCTAGGTAGTTAGGTTGGTGGGAGAGGGAAATAAATCGACTAGATTGTGAAGTTACATCGATTGAGAGAGATGGTTAGGACATGTGTTACGCATGTCTAGCCATCACCTTCCTCGACGATGGGCAGCGTTAGATGACAGGATGGGTCAGGTTAGAAAAGACGCAGTGGTGAGCAAACCAAAACATGGCTTCACCAGTCAATGAAATCCATAAGTTTGTTTGTACCAGTCAGCTACTTGAGGAGGTGTAGACTGTGTGGCTGGTTGGAGTCATCGGGATGGTAAGAATCAATGAAGACTGGAAACACTTATCGTTGATATAGCTCAAAATTGTTCTCGATGACTGGCGCAGATGTATTCATTCCTTGTAATTTGTCATATGCAATAAAATCCTATTGGTATTCCATACTTCTATTCTTTTTCCTTTACACTTCTGTTTATCATTTCTCTTTTGAATCTGTCTTTACTCTGTTGTTTTGCTTTGTGTGTGTGCTACATGGAGGGAGTGTGGCAAGTTGAACTGCTGCACAACTAATTGTGCAAGGTGGTTCTACATTGAAACCAGTCAGTCAGTTTTTAGGTCTGAAGAATTCATGTTTTCTTCATCTTCAATATATAATTTCTCCGAAAGTTTATGCAAACTGTTGTTGAAATTCCCCCATGTCCTCATTTTTTGCGTGAATATATGCATATTGAAAGTCTCTTAAAGCCGTGAAGAATGAAGTTTGATAGTGTTAGTAGTTTCTGCATGTTTAAAGGTTTCCTCCATGTAACCTTGAATGTAACTGGTTCAGCAGTTGTTCACCCTACTGACTCATATACGGATATTTTTCTACATCCACCAAAGCCACAGTGTAAAGTTATATAATGCTTAGTAGCTCTGATACAAAACGTATGCTTCACAATAGACGAATCAATAAGGAAGATTAATACTGTATGCCATGCTTATTGCAAATGAATTACAGGCTAGGCAGTAATACTACGTGTACGGCAAATGTCAAAACCACTAAAAACCATAGCTGTTTAATGACGTTAAAGCATTCATATTGAATAAAATCGAATTCAGCATTTTGAAAATTACTTATTAGAGTTTGCTGAAAGTAGCATAAATTCTTGTATTTCATAGCTCGTTAAGTCTCCATATTTACCAAGGTCAGAGGACTTAACATGAACAATGTAATAAACAATTCTTACCCTTTTCGCTTCTCTCCATCGTCTACACTTTGTCTACAGTCTTATACTAATATATTTTTCTCCTTTCTTTTATCTCTTGATTTATTTATATACAGCTATCTAGACAATCTTGATCGAATCTCCCAACCAGACTATTTACCGACTCTACAGGATATCCTCAGAGTTCGAGTCCCTACTACAGGTATTGTAGAGTACTTATTTGATCTGGATTCGATTATATTCCGGTAAGCTTTTTTTTCAAGACGATATTTTTGTTTTTATAACTATATGCTACTTTTATATGCAACTGTTGAAGTGGTTGTGTTTAAAAACCATTTTCCAGTAATCACTATTAATGTATTATTGAAACTCAAACATCGTACATTATGGGGACTATCAGATGTGCCACAAAAAATCTCATAGTTTGTAAGAGGGCTGAAGTACTGCACAACAGCTCAGACCGTAGCAGGTGGTTGTCTTAAGGGGTCATATCCGTAGACTTCAACCTGAATTCTGACCTACAAGGCAGTGGAGCAGCGTCAGGAGCTACGTTGCCATGATTTCTGGTGACAAAAACAGTTCCATACGTCATTCGATCCTTTCGGATTCTGAAGTCCACATAGACTACCATGAGGGTTTTCCAGTTCCCTGGGCCTGAATGTCCACCAGTGGGGTTGTAAGCGCCAGACGTTATCATTCGCCCTTTCACTTTTATGAGGAACACCCTCGTGGCACGTGAGGGTTGTGAAAAGGACTTACCTGACGGTAGAGGTTGTGAGCACTTGGGAACATGAAAGTATTTCTAGGGGAAGGACGAAATCATCCCCATCCTTAGCATTACCAGGTTGTTCTAGGAATCTACTACGGTAGCGAACTAATGAGTAACTATAATGATGAATATTAAGGATTTTGCGATCACTTTAGTTTTTTTAGCTTTATGCGCATGTACTGAGGCTGTCTTGAGAAGATATATTTTGTAAATGGATGGTGATTGGGGTTTGACAGGAAAAATGAGTCACAGTCATTACTTTTTTTTCTGTGAAACACTCATTAATTTTGATTATGTCAATGTTCTATCAATGAAATAGTCACCACTTTCTTGGTTCACATCACGAATACAATAGATTTAATTTGAAAAGCAATTGACTAACTAATAAGTGTGTAGTCATTAGAGAGGGTGCGTAGGTCACTGAAGCATGTTACTTTCTAAATTGCAGTGGATCTGATTGTGTCCACTACTCCATGATTGCCCATAAGCTCTCATATCCTCTTCACACGATCTCTCCTCCACATCAGTCTCGGGTGTCTAACTCTCGTCGTTTCCCGTTAGAGTCCCCCCCCCACTCGAGTACCTATCCTAATTTACGGTTCATCTTCAAAGTTACGGAGATACAGTTTTCTAAAAACAAAAATAATTAAGACTCACTGATGACTACTAAGCTAGCTACCTGTCGTCTATTCAGCTGCGCCAACCAGCGTAAATGTTTATCTTTGATCGTGATGATTATCTGTGTGTTTTTATGATGGCAATAATTTGATGTTTAATGTCAATTATTATTATTATTATTATTATTGTTCCCTTGGGTTCCTAGTGGAACATAGGGCTTCAACTGCACGCCTCCACTTGCTTCTGTCTTGTGCTGTACTTTTCACTTGCATCCCATCCATGTTAATCCATACTGTTTCAACTCCTCTTCACACGATCTCCTCCATGTCACCCTTGCACTGACGTACCACTCGCCGCTTCCCTTTCGTGTTCCACTCGAGGGTCTGGCGCGCGATGACACTGAGCGGCCTCCTAAGCGAGTGTCCAATCTATCTCCACTTTCTCCTGCATATTTGTTGGGCGATTGGTTCTTGTTTTGTTTGTTCCCGGCCATCTAATCTTCAGTATGGAGCGAAGACAGTTGTTGATAAAGGTCTGCAACCTGTTGAAAATATTCTTGGTGACCCGCCAAGTTTCTGATCCGTAAAGCAAAATTGACTTCACGTTTATATTGAAAATCCGAATTTTGTTGTTGATGGTGAGTGACGAAGGTTTCCAGATTGGTTTCAGGTTGATGAATGTGTTTCTCGCCTTCCCGATTCTCAAATTGACATCCTCGTCCGTTCCTCGTGCTGTAGTTGAGACAATGCTCCCTAGATAAGTGAAAGAAGTAACCTCTTTCAAATCCCTCCCGTTGATGGTGATTGGTGCTGGATGTTGCTGCTGTTGTTGTTGTTGGTTGGTTGGTTATTTTCATGACCTCCGTCTTGTCTATGTTCACCTGGAGTCCTGTCTTTGCTGCTTCTTCGACCAGTTTGTCGGTTTTTGCTTGTAAGTCTTCGATTTTGTGTGAGTTTAATGTCAAAGTAAGCAATTATTATTTTCTCCTGTATATATATGTGTGTATGTTAATTATATTTCATAATATACAAATGCTAATTAACTTGTATTATCTTTTGTTACTAGAATGGTTGATGTCGGTGGTCAACGCTCTGAGCGTAGAAAATGGATCCATTGTTTTGAAAGTGTTACATCAATTATGTTTCTAGTCGCCTTGTCAGAGTATGATCAAGTTTTAGTGGAATCTGATAATGAGGTAAGTCGGTCAGTCAGTCAGTCTTGTGATGTGTGTATGTTCACATTGTGAAGGTGTGTGTGTAAATCTTATAATACCTCCTTTTCTCTCTCTCTCATTGAGATGAGTTTTGAATAAGTTTCATTTTGCACTATTCAAATTATATCGTGTCGAACGTCATAAGAAAAAAGGGATTAGATTAGTTTATGTGAGTGTGTGTGTGTGTTTGCGTGTTTTTGTGTTATGATAGTCTGAAGTGAGTTTGATTATCCCCCTGTTTCACGTATACTCAAGTCTCTTTTATATAAAGGGCACACTTCCAAAGTGTTGCGAACAAGTTGTATTACTTAGTCTGTTTTATATGTGTGTAAAGAAGAAAAGATCGATGAGGCTCGAAGGCAATGTTTATTAGGATAAACACATTGTAGGTGTATACCTTTTCTTTAAGTCTTCATTTGCACATCATTTGCAAATTGGTTGAATATCACCGTCATCGATAGTTTGTTGGATGGTTCTTCACAGTGTTTCTAACGTTCTTCTCACACTTCTCTTCTTCTATTGCTTTTTCCATTGTCCCAAAGCACATTGTTACCTTTCTGAATTCGTTTACTGATATAATACTAATTATATCTGAGTATAAGTAGCACTCAGCACATGTGTACTAAACTGTTAAGGCTATAAAGAGCTTGGTTTATTACATATTTGTTGTGGCTCTTATCCCATGTATATTTTATACAGTTCGATCGTTGAAAATGGAAGATATGCAAAAGGACTGGTTGTCTTTGATCTCAAATATTTGTGGTATGATGTCTGATGAATACTATCGAGGTTAGACGTGTAGGGTATGTTAGGTAAGAAGAGTAAGTCAATCGATCAGGTTGTAAAACTATATGGGCTAAGATGGCTAGGACACATGCCGAGTTTCCACCTTCCTCGAAGAATACGGTTAGCTAACATAACCGGGGGGTGGGGAGTGGTCAAATGAAAAGCTGACATCAGTCCCGGAAGTCTTTAGTAATTGGTTTAAGTCAACCACGTAGGTACAGGAGAATCAATGGTCGGAGATATGACTCCAAGCTGTTCTGATGAATAACACAGGTGCATTTACTCTCTCTGTAATGTAGTCTCTTAGACCCAGAGAAGAGGACCCAGATTCAGTCCTCGTCGTTCACCATATAACTATTCCTTCTTACATATATTTGCGTCCCTTTGAACTGTTTTCTCTACCTTTGTGTGTTATGCATGTATATATGCATAGCGCGGTGACGTGAACTGGTGCGCTCCTTTTTAAAGAGTTCAGTCAGATCAATATCTGAAAAGAATAATCTAGTCTTCTATTCGTAGAATACCTAAGATTCTGTTTCTGAATCCATAGGCTTCTTTTTACTACAACGTTACTTGTCAGTAAATTCATGTGTATAAGATGAGTTTATAATCTATTTGTTGTGGGTTGTAATGTAACACTGGTAGGATTTCAAGGCAGGCTTGCTATGATGAAACAAACTGTGCATATGGGAGTGGTGCGATGGAAGCAAGCGATGATCCTGTTGTAAATGTTTTGTTTGTTTGTTTGTTTGTACAGTAGTAGCAGTAGTGATTTGAAAGCTAAGGTGAAAGTGGATCCCATCACATAAATCATTTCAGACAGTGGTAAATTTGTGAAACCGACGTTAATTTCCCTATCTATACCCACCCACCTCACTTCCACCCGATACCTTTTTTTTGGTGTACTTATATACCCAGAAACAGTGGTAGATGGTTATTTGTTTTCCCTCTATATTTACCTATATTTCTAATCCCATTGACACATGTGTGCCACCCCAATTCTGTTGATCACTTTTAGAGATTGATAAATGATTTTCGTTTGGAAATGAAAGCACGATCTTCATTCAAAATTAAAGTAAAATTTTCTTCATTTAATTATGTTTCAATAAAAGTGTATTCCGTGGATTACTATTTATTTTTATTATTATTATTATTATGACCATTAGTTATGAATTTGTTAATTTTAGTAAATAGCATTATGTCTCAAAGCCAGAAGAAGAAATCCCATTACCTAAGATGCGAATAACAAGACTTGCATGGACTGATTCAGTCCTCCCATAATTCCTGTAATATTCATGGCACTGTGATCGATCATAGGGCGGAAATCGAATGTCTCTGCTAACTCCAGCATCAGTTTCTCTTCAAATCTCTGTTAGTCATCGTCTCATATCCTATTGATTTCTAAGAAATCTTCTCACTTGACTTGTTATATATATAAAGGAGTTGAGATTTTCTGCTGGTATAACTCAACTCAACCTCTTCCCTTACAATTTTCAAGTATTCGTTGTTTTGTAGGGATTTAGTTTGATTGGATGTAGGATTTTATCATGAGCTGACATCAGTTAGCGAACCACTGGAAAACCTGGGAGTGCTGGACAGCGTCGGTGACACAGCGGTTAGGACACTCGCCGACCGTGCGCATGGTCCGGGGTTCGATTCCCGGCCGACTCACTCATTAAAGAGTCCCAAACTAGGACGAAACAGCTGTACAGTACTCCAGGGTTTTCCAGTGGTTGTCTAACTGATGTCAGCTCATGATGAAACCCTCCATCCACTCTTACAATTTATTAATATTCATGTATTTAGCCCATTCTCCTTTATTGTTTGCCCCAATTATTCTCTCTTGAACTTTTCAAAAACGACTACATCATATTAGATAGGTATAGCATTGGAGGCTGTGTGTGTGTGTGTGTCTTTGACTCAACCAACTGACATTGTTGTTTTTATTGATGGGGATTTTAATTCTTGTAAGCAGTTAGAGTTAGCTAAAGTTATCTAATTCTTGTCTCGATACCGGACATCCTCTTTATTCGAAACCTTTTCTCCTTGTATCTCACTTCGGGGGTGAAATCAGAAGAAACTTCATAAGAATTTACGTTCGTACAGCTACTAAATATAAAAATTCCACAATACCATCATATTTAGCAGTGGGTTTTCTGTGGAGAGTTAGATTTCAGAAAGGAACAATGTAAACTTTTTAAATCAGTAATCTGAACTGCAAAGTATAAGCAAGGATTGTTATTATTATTACATGTATTATTATATATTATATTATTTATTTGTAATTCATTATGTTCCGTCAACTTTCAGTTTTTTGTGGTTTTGTTATTATTATTATTATTTTTAAATCTTATGTATCTACATATCTATGAAGGGAGCTAAATTTCTGTAATATGTCTTAAAGAAACTGAAAATTCCATTCTGTATAATTCTTGTTATTATTATTATTATTAAAAAGATTTCAGCCTGTAGATATTAGATTTCCATTACATTAGAGATCTGAAGAAAATGGTGATTCGCACCCATGTCCATTTTGTGTTGTGTGTGTGTGTGTGTGTCATTTTTAAAATCTAGACTAAATTCCTGGCATTCATCGAAAGTTGCTGTAAATTTTGTTTAGAAGCTCAAATACCTTTTAACATTCAAACTTGTCAACTGGTTAAATTCAAACTAACTTCCTGAATAATTGGATGCAATTTCGAAACTATTCAATGGAAATGTGTTTATGCCTAAATCTTAACATCGAAATGCTGCTGCATCGTAAAAGAAACTTGTCATTATATCATGCCTATTGTGTGATGTGTAACAGTTGTCTTGATGGTTGTTGTTAGAGTTAGTTAGGAAGCCCTTCCTTCTCAACGGAAGAGTTGATCAGCCTTATTTTGTCATGTGAGCTTTTTGAAAAAGATGCCTAGATGCATTACCAGGATTAGTAAAGTAACTTGAGCTGTTAAATATTTGATTCGAATTCCACAGCTATTCATCCACCTACCTATCACTGGACAAGTGAATGCATCTGCGTCATCATTGACAATGATTTTGAGCCATATCACCGATAGCCTTCAGCTGTTGACTCTCAGAATCCCACGAACTCCCACCACTCTGCTTATATCTCCCAATGTATCTGGCTCAGACCAACTGAAGCATATTTCAATGACTGGTTCTAGGTTTTGGTTTAACCACCTCTAACTGTTTTCAAACCTAATCGGATGTCATCTATCCATTGCTGGTCGAAGAATGTGGTGACTTCGGTTACACAACACGTGTCCTAACCGTCTGTGTAAATATACCTCACCCTCAGTATCCAACACTATGCCTAACCTCAATATCACTCATCATATCTATGCTACTTAGCACGAAAAATAGGACGCAGTCCTCTCTGGTCAAACACAACTAGCCCAGCATTTTCTGAATTTTTCACTTCCAATGACGATGTCTCACAACCAATAAACTAGCACAGAACGAACTGCTGCACAGCACACATTTTGATTAGCCTCATCTTTCTCTCTCAGTAAATACGCTTTTGACACCAGATTGCTTCAAAGTTGGTACCCCTGTAAGATGGTTCTGCTGTTATCTGAATTAAGTAGAAGTTGTCAGGTGTTGAACCTGAAATTCCTTCGTTTAAAAAACATTCAAAAAGGCACCAGCCCGTCCACCCTTCCTACTTAGGTAGGTGTTACATAAATGAGCAAGTAAATAAAAAGTTAATGCATTACAACTATTGTACTATTTTGACCCCGATAGTGGTGGTTTCCTGTCTATTAATTATTTTGTTTGCCTTTCTTTCTCCTCACAGAATCGTATGGAAGAAAGTAAAGCTCTTTTCAGAACAATCATTACTTATCCATGGTTTCAAGAATCATCTGTTATATTGTTTTTGAATAAGAAAGATCTGTTGGAAGAGAAAGTTCTTTACTCTCATTTAGTTGATTATTTCCCAGAATATGATGGTAAGTCGACTGACTAAATTGCCTTGTTTCTGGGTTATATAGAATAAATTTATTCTTTTTTGTATTTCTTGTGTATTGTGGAGCTTCTAGCTGAAAGATTGGGAAGCGGGGTGGTGAGGTTCTACTCCAGCATATTTAGACGTGATCGACAGTGTGGTGTATATATTCAGTTTACACATGGTTATCTGCTTTTATTAGCAATCAATTTACAATCCCTATATATACTGCATTGTGCGTCGGTGATACAGCGTTAGAGCGTTTGTCAGCCACGTATGTGGTATGGGTTTCTATCCCCGGTCGACACACTCCTAGACGCTAGTTAGACCGGTAAAGAGGGAAGGTTGAGTATTAGGCTAGCTAACCCACCCCGTAAAAATAAACCCCATGGCAGCCGAAACTTCGAAACCCCACTTCAAGCCCTATGTTCCACTAGGAACGTGAAGGAGAGAAGTACGTAT